GGGTGGCTCCGTCGGGTGAGCCTCTGACCTCGGTTTTGGCTCATGATCTCATGACCTCACAGTCGTGGGTTTGAGCCCCGAGTCGGGCTCTGCGCTGGCAGCTCCTAACCTGCTTGGGATTCTCTCTGTCCCCCTCTCTCTGCCTCTCCCCGCACTCGTGGTCTCGGTTCCTCTCTCTCAAAATAAATAAATAAACTTAAGGGAAAAACAAGAAATTGTTTAATGGACAGAACTGCCAACCGAGAAAATGAAAATCAGTGACCATCTCCTGTCATGAAACAAGACGCATTTATTTCTTGCCTCCTTTCCCCTCCCTTCCCGTCTCTCCCCTTCCCCTCCCTCCCCTTCTCCCCTCCTTGCATTCAGGCTCTTTGGAGAATACCCCTTCCCCACTGCACACCTAGTGGAGGTGCAGCTCCTGTGGCCCTCCCTCCCCTCCCTGCCTCGTCCCACCCACCCCCTCCTCTTCTCAGAGCTACCGCCTTCCCGTCCCTCCTTCCCGTCCCTCTCCCTTCCCTCTCCCTTCCCTCTCCCATCCCTCTCCCTTCCCTCTCCGATCGCCTGCTTCCCTCAGGTCACCTCGCTCTCACACTAACCTCAGTGGCCAGCGGTGGGGGGGATTTGCCTCCTTTGATTCGGAGCTTTTAAATGCCCCCCGTGGCCGGTTGGAGAGTGGCACAGAAATCCCTTTAAGGGCCCACCTGGCGTGCATTCACCCAGCCTCTCCAACACGCTTTGCCCCGATTCCCTACCTCACCGAAGGCTGCCTCCCAGGCCTTGGCAGCTGATCCCAGGCTCAGGCCTGAGCACCGGGTCACCTCCGTGTGTGACTCCTGGAGAGCGCGAGTCCCGCCTGAGCCCCCCTTTCACCCCTGAATTCGGGGGCCAGGGCCCAGCACAGAGCGTGTGTCATCAAATCCTCATGGAGGGGGTCGATGCCTGTGCGGCCAGCGACCGGACCGCTGCGTGGCCAGAGTTCTGTAGGAAAGGAGAGCTCACTGCCTCTCTCACAGGAGGGTGTGTCCTGTTAGGATGGAAGCAGCATCAGGGAGTCGCACTCAGCTGGGACCACATTCCAAACCGAGACTGGGGGAGGTTGGTGGTGTCGCTCATCTGGGGTGAAACTAGCAAGATCTTGAAATATTTAACTGTTGCAGGAGAAAAAACATGGCAGTCCTGTGGCCACTGGTTTAATCACGCTCTGGGTTCGAGTTGCGTGTCAGTCGTACCTGTACTGTTTCGCCGGTCAGTTGGGCTTTTGTGTCTCCGTTTTAAGTGTGTTACAAACTGTAGGCATCCCTAAAGGGCCAGGACGTGGACACAGTGGGATACAGAGCCCTGACTCCACCCTCTAATACGCAGCGTAGTGCGGGCCTCCGTGCTGGCCTGCTGGTCATTGGTCGCTTCCCCGGGACACGGGGAGCCTTTGGGAGATCTCTTTAAAGAGCCCCGATGATGGGAAGACTACTCGGCACAGATCCCTCCTGACAGCTGCCTGTAGACACGCATTGGGGCGCTCGATGCATCAGCCTGTTCGGAATGTTTCATTTAATGCAGTAAAATGCAGCGCGTTTTCTGGGTCATGAAAGGAAAAGCATCTGAAGTTCACTGAATGCTCTTTTGATTTCACATTGAGACGCGGTTAGGAGTTTTTCTGAAGGTCAAGTGCCCGCAAGGTGCTGGGTGGGGGCGGGCTGAGCAGGGGCTCCTGGCGGCTGTCCATCCGCCCACCTTCCTGTGGAGTCGTGGCGCCCTTGCCGCGGGACCACGGAGGCAATGCGATGGTACGGGTGTGGGAGAAACAGTGCGAATCTGGGATCCAGGTTCAGGGTGAGAACAAGAGACAGACAGCAACATGGTCCAAGGAGCCACTTTTGTTTTTTATAAAGTTTGCTTATTTTAAGAGAGAGAGAGCAGGGGAGGGACAGGGAGGGAGAGAGAGAGAATCCCAAGCAGGCTCCGCACTGTCATTGCAGAGCCCAACATGGGGCTTGAACCCACGAAACCGTGAGATCATGACTTGAGCCTCACTCAGGGCCGGATGCTCAACTGACTGAGCCGCCAGGCGCCCCGAGGGGCCACCTCTCCTGGGTTCTTGCTGTCCAGGCCGAGAGCTAGCAGGACGAGGCCTCGGCTACCCACCTTGTCTCCCCTCCGGTCTCCTCTGCGTCCCTTCCCCCTTCTCCCCACCTCCGTCTCCTCCCCAGCCCTAGAGAGCACCCTCGAGTGCAGCCCTGTCTCACGTCTCCCACACTGACTGGCGTGCAGAAGGCACCCGGCACTTCCACTTGCGAACTGAATGTGAGCCGGAGACCGCACGCAGGGCAGACGAAGCCCTACTCTGTTCGCGGCTAGGAATTAGCAAGGAAGCACCTGTTACACCTGGCTGTCGGCCTCGAGGTCGTCCGGGCCAGTTGCTCTCTCTTCAAGACAGCGATTACAGATCGACTGGAGCCGAGTCACTGGCGTCCCAGAGAGTGGACACAGGCGAGAGCCGCGGGCAGGGGCTCTGCGGGCAGTCAGCCCCGCCCTTCGCGCCTCCACACTCCACTCCCCAGCAGCCTCAGGAGTGTGTGGTGTCACTCGTCACCTGCCCAGCGGCCCAGCGTGTGTCCACCCCGACCCGCCTCCCGTGCCCGCGCTCCCTCCTGGACAGCGCGTCCCCCTCGGGCCCCAGCACCCGCGTCCCATGCCCGGGGCCGAGTGCCCTCTTGCTCTCTGCCTTGTCTCCCGCCTCTGTGTCTGTGGGACTCCCCTCCCCTCTCTTGTAGAAGGTGATACCCCGTCATTTCTCACTTCCTCATCCCACCTGCCGACACGCTCAGTGCCACACGCGCCTGGCCCCTGTCAGGTGCGGCAGATGCTACACTCTGACCCATCAGCTAAAACACGAGCCTCGCAGGGTCCTGGACCACGTGTGAGTGACGGGGCGGCTGAGGCCCCCGTGGGGCTGCCTGCATCCTGGGGGCTCGCCTCCGGGGGCTGGTCGGGGGCTTCAGAGGTAAGAGATGAAGGCGGATGTCTGCCAGGCGGTGGTCAGACTGGGGTGTAGACGCAGCCAAGTCTGGTTTGTATTTTGGAGCCGCAGCGGGAGAAAGGATGAAAAACAAAAATAGCCAGAGGAGCCTCACGGACTTCGGCCCAACAGAGGCTGCACATTTTCCCAAAGTTGGAGAACATAGTCCAGCTCCTGGCCCCGCCCCCCCGCCCCCCGCCTGTCTGGGGAACGTCCCATGTGTCAAAGAGTGGCTGGGAGTCTGCGTGTGGTGCTCGGGAAGGGCCTTCGAGGAGGCGCTGGGTGGGAAGAGGACTTGGGGGGAAGTGGAGGCAGCGGGGTGGGGCCGGCCGGTGGCCCCGCTGCTCAGGATGGGTTCCGGGGGCTTCAGGGACAGTAGGCAAGAGCAAGGGTCTTACTGGTGTCAGGAGGCTCCCTCCTCCCCCTGAAAGTAGGAAATGTGTTTCCTCTGGGACCAAGGAGCTCCCGAGTCCACACCTTCGCCCAGGATGGCCTCTCACTCCGGAGGAACCTTCTGGAAGCGAGTCAGTGGGAGGACCCCTGGGCTGGAGACTTGCCCACTTAACCTCCCCGGAACTGGTGAGTCAGCAGCAGCAGGGAGAGCCCCCGGCCCCGCGGTTCTGGCCTCCAGCCTCGCCCCACCCGTGCGTCCCAGCGGACACGCCAGCCCACCACCTCCTTTCACACAGAGACATCTGAGCCACTGTCACGGGGCGGCTAATTATAGTCACATCTGCTTGCAGCTGGACAAGACATGACCTGGAGGTGAAGCACGGCCCAGTCCGTCCCCTGGGCGGGGACCTTGAACGTCCACCCCCGCCGAGTGGGAGAAGAGGCGGAAGAGACAGGAAAATGAGCCCACATAGGTCGTAGGGTGGGTGACGCACACAGACCCGCGATCCCAGGCTGACGGTCAGGCGAGCCAGGACACCCCCCCACTTCCTCCGCGTGCGGTTCTGCTGGGAGCCCCCCAGACCCCGCGGGTCCCGAGCCTCCCACGCACTGCGCTTACTCAGACGTGCTCATGTCACAAGTTCAGTTTGTTTCTCAAAGGTTTCGTGCTAATTTGTTCTTTTGCCAAGAATGTATCAACACTCGCAGTTGTTTTCAAATGGGAACAGAAATATTTTGTAAGTCCAAAAAGTAGTAAGGATATTTGGTTTCCATGTTTTCCATGATTGAACAAAACAGAAATTCTGTTTTACTGAGACAGAATTCTCCTTTCCACCGAGTTAATGACAAAAGGTGATTTTCACATCCTTTGAATCGCATTTAACATTTATCAAAACCAGACAAACCTGATAGAATAAAACAAATGCAGATAAGAGAATGGGGATGGTGAGCTCCTTGGAGAGTAATCATCCTTACATCCATAATGCCAAACATAGTTTTGGGAGTTCAAAATGCTGCACAAATGTAAGCTTTTAAGAAATTACTATTTGCACTGTAACATCTGGCCTCTGTTTCGCTCTCTATTTTGCTAATAAGTTTTAAATCCAATGCATACTTTCTGGGGGGGGGGTAAATTTTATTGAAGAAACGTGTGAAATGATATGGATAGAGTTGAATGCATCTTGCACAAACAGAACACACCCACCAAACAGAAGCCTAGAAACCCCCAGGCCCCCCTTCCCCTCACTCACGGCCCCCGAGGGTGGCCAGGATCCAGCTCAATTCTGTTCAGTTTTCAGCTTTGTGTCGACGGAGCCGGCGGGCTTGCTCCACCGTGACTGGCTTCCTTCCCTCAGTGCCGTGTGCATGAGGGTTCCCCCGTGCCCCGGTCACCCGCGCTCAGTGTGCAGAGGGCTCACTTTACGCGAGCCGCCGTGTGTCTGTCCGTGACCCTCCCTGCAGCTCGGGCCAGCATGTGTACTGAGTGATGACCATTCTTGAATACGCTTCATTTGATTTGATTGAAATACAACAAAGTACAGAAATTGTGAGTTCCCAGCTCAGTCAGTTTTTGCAGGTGCAGCTCCCTCTCCCCTCGCCCCCATGTAGCCACCCTGCTCATCAAGCAGGGGCCATGTCCAGCACCCAGGAAACCCCCTCCTACCCCTTGGTCGACCCCCCACCCTTGGGACTTTTTCACCCTGGAGAGTTGCTCCCGTCCTTGGGGCCAGGGCAGCGGGACCAGTGTGTGTATTCTTCTGAGCGGTGAGCTTCTCTTTCAGGGCGGTCCCGTCCGGGCAGTGGGGGTGTGGGGGTGTGGAGGGCCATTCTGCACAACCTCATGGCAGCGGGCAAACATTTAAAATAAGCATGACCGAAAATAGCATGCGCCGCTTAAATTCTCAAACAGGACGGAAGTTAGGACACTTCATTTGTTAAAATTCCCCCGCATCTCCTCTGTATTTCTTTCCGATGTTTCGGTTCGCAGATAGAAGGTGGGCTCTTGATCGAGCACGGCAGCACTTTTCTGGTAGGGGAAGAAGAATGAAACGTCATGGAATGGAGAAGTTCAAAGTCTGGTGGCCTGGGATGAGGGTAACTGTGGTTTTGTTAAAACCGTGTCCCCGCGATGCTCGTGAACCCGTGCGCACCTGTGGGGCATGTGCCAGGCGTGGGGTCGCTAGGGAAGCCCGCGTGTGGGGGCTCGGGTCCCGGGGCGCACTGCCGAGCGGCTGTCCCGCCTCTGTCCCACTTGACAGTCCCGTGGGGGGAGGGGCGTGTAGGAGAGCCCACATGCCTCGGGCTCCACGTATTTCTTCAGTTGGAGAATCACCCCAAAACTTCCCTGAAGAACTGCCACAACCAGGAAGAAAATCGGGATGATAATATCACCAGAGAACTATTCTGACATTTTGCACAGCGTGGGGAATGTGGAAAGGAATTTGAAAGATAAGCTGTTTAGACTTGGCAGAGCTCCACATGTCCGTATTTGGTGGGATGGGAAACACATAAAACTGTGAAAGCAGTGATGTCAAAGGTCTCCCTTCCATCAGAAGCAGGAAAAAAGTGGGAAAATTGAGGACTTCACTGTTAGAGCCATTCCAAATATGCCTTCCTACCAAAGGCTGTGTCACAGCTAGCAGGTCTGTGGGACAGAGCGTGTGTACGGGCTTGCGCTCTGTCTGTCTGTCTGTCTCTCCCCCCACCCCCCCGTGCTCACACATGCGTGCGTGCACACGCACACAGAGCAGCACAGCCCTTGGCATCCTTCGGTTAAGCAGAGAGGCGCCCTCCAAACAGAATCCGCGAGCCTCCCCCTCCCTGCTTTCCCACACGGAACTCACTTTAATGTTGAGAAGACCTCCCTGTTGGTCTGAAGATCAGAGAAGGGCCGGAAATAGGCTTCATTTCAAGCTAAAGTCACTGACCTCCGTGATCTGCCTTCCTTCTTTGGCGCTAGGACTATAAATCCCAAATCTTTGGGAATTTTTAGAACTTAACATACTTCAGAGCATTCATGCTGATGGTTTGTCCCTCTGGAAATCTTAAATTGGGGCATGAAAGAAAATATGTAATATTAATTATTTTGTCAGGTCCTGAAATGTATAAAGAGACTAACAGGGGCACCTGGGGGGCTCAGTCGGTTAAGCGTCCGACTTCGCTCAGGTCATGATCTCGCGGTTCGTGGGTTCCAGCCCCGCGTCGGGCTCTGTGCTGACAGCTCAGAGCCTGGAACCTGCTTCGGATTCTATGTCTCCCTCTCTCTCTGCTCCTCCCCTGCTTGCACTCTCTCTCTCAGAAATAAATAAAACATTTAAAAAATTTAAAAATAGAAAGGGACTGGAACAGATTGGAAGAGGTACTTGTTCTACGGGCTGCATTGTTGTACCTTTTGTGTCCCTTTCAACTTTTATCATTAATTGGTGCTCAAAGTGGTCACTGAAGCTGTGTGTGGGTCTGCCAGACTCCATCTAGAACAAATGTGGGGGTTTTTGTTTAAAATGCAGTTCATTCAGTTCAGCTTTCACTGGAAGTAACTTCTGACACTCTCGTGGTGGGTTACTGGCTGTGGTCCTGCTGGGAAGAGGCCAGAGGCATCAACAAGAGGGACGCAGTTTTCATTAAGATGGTCTGCACCATTAGGGTATAGATGTGGTGCTTTCCCCCTGGGAGCCGTCTGGGGGTCTCTGGGAGACCCCCCACTGTTGGCCATGGAGATCCCACTTCTGCAGAAGAGACCAAAATCCACAACCCCCAAAGACCAAGCATTTGCGGTCTTCAGCCACATCCCCCACGTTCAAGTGGAGAACGTCTTTGTGACCAGCTTCCTCAGCCGCGACCTCTCGGTTTCAGCGCTGCTCGGCAGGGAAGCGCAGGCATTCCTCCCAACTTGGAGCTGACTGACTTGATGCTTGCACCCCAGTGAGGGGAGGGGCAAGAAAAAGAAGTGGGAGTGCTTCACAGAGGGTACAGGTTCTTCCCGTTCTAGAATCTGGAGCAGACGGATGGGAGCTAGTCGACAGGCCCGATACGTTCCAGATGCTGGGAGAAATGAGCAGCCCTCGTAAAGTCCACTCCCTCAGACGTGCGGCCAGTAGGGAGCTGTGGGAGCGGGTGACACCCTGCACATCTCATGATTTTGCTGCGAGGTCCGGATGCAAAACGTAATTCCTCCGGAAATCATGACATTTGTGACGCCATCTCTAACATGTTGGGGGGGTCACCAGTGAAATTTTGGATCGGAGGAACTTACATAGTTCATTTGCCCTTTTAAACTTAGTGATTCACAGCTGAGACTTGAGATGTAATTTACTTAAGACTCTTACTTTATTTAGCTGTTTCGAAATCATGCATGACACCTGATTAAAAGGGATTCTTAGAGCATCACTGGTATTCTTTTTAGCAGCACACCTTAAAATCACAGCTAAAATACCTCGTGTGCCAGGGTGATATCCAGCAGGGGCCACTGTGCAACGACAATGTTAAGGACCAGAATAGTGATACTTCAAAAACACATTTTCAGGGCATCTGGCTGGCTCAGTCAGAGGAGCATGAGGCTCTTGATCTTGGGGTCATGAGTTCGAGCCCCATGTTGGGTGTGGAGATTACTTAAATGAAGAAAAACTTTTTAAAAAAGCAAAAGAGATTTTATTTAGCAAAGTAAACATGCATTTTAAAAAATTTTTGTTAGTCTAAAAATTATTATTTTTTTTTTAACGGGGCCATTTACGTAAACTGTGAGGCCACCCAGAATGTGAAACACAAATCATGGTCTAAAAATGCCTTTCGTTCTGAAAGGCTGACCATAATCTTGTTATTATTAGAAAAATTAATTCTTTGGGATTGCTTTTTAGGGCCAGCACTGGTAATCAAATTTCCTTCAAGAATAAAGCAGAAAGGAGTCATGGGGGTGCCTGGGTGGCTCAGTTGTTTGGGCGTCCAACTTCCACTCAGGTCATGATTTCATGGTTTGTGGGTTCGAGCCCCGTGTCAGGCTCTGTGCTGACAGCTCAGAGCCTGGAGCCTGCTTCCAATTCTGTGTCTCCCTCTCTCTCTGACCCTCCCCTGCTCGCGCTGTCTCTCTTTCTCAGAAATAAATAAAAACATTGAGAAGTAATTTAAGAAAGGATTCATGAATGTCTTTTGTCTGGGAATTTTTAAAAAAATTTTGCTTGATACAGAGTATGTGGTGGTGGTGGCAGGGGGAGAATCTTTCATTCTTATAACAGCCTGTGTTAAAGGCTCTGGTTCCGTATTTCTCATCTCCGATCGCCCCAAGAGTTTGTCCTGACCCACAGCCTTGCCCAGGATGAAACTGGCCGTTTGTCACCCATAGGTGACACAGCACGCTGGCTGTGTTTCTGTAGCGAAGGCCCAGAATCAGGTTGACCCCAGCAGACACAGCTGTGGCCCTGTAACCTCTTATCTAGTGTCCCTTGCAATTAAAGCATTTGCTGAGAGCTGAAGGGAACTGTTCCAGGAAATTCATGTTTATAACTTCCCTCGGGTTGAATGGAGATAAGCTTCTGAGATTTTATCAATGTTTCAGAAGAGAAAACCCAGAAAGACCAAATAGCCATTTTCGGTCCAGCCATGTGATCCTAAATCTGAAGTTTAGAAGAAACCGTATGGAGCTGAGTAGAAAAGCCCGCCTTCCCGCTTCAGGCTGCTGTTGGGTTTTGGCCAGCGAAGCCTGGGTGGTAGGTGGACATTTCTTTCCTACCCGATAAATGAGTAGCCTGGGTGATTTTTCCTTCTGGCATCTGCAGGAGTGGGATGGGGGTTACAGAGTTTAAAGAGCAGAGGCGTGTTCCTGAACCGGGTTCAGCAGCAGAGGTTTAGAGGGCCTGGCTGGGAGCTGGCGGGGGGTGAGGGGGAGGCTGATCCGGAGCCCCAGCGACTGCCTGCCGGACTTTCCTGGTCTGGGGGCTCACCCAGCACCCCCAGGAGCCCCCTCCTCCCTGGAGGTCCCGCTGTCCACACCCAGTTTCCTCTTCGGAGTATCTACCGACAGCGCTGTTAGGCAGTAATATGTTAGGAGCTGACATACGCGTGTCAACGGATTGCTCTCGCACCTGTTATTTAAGGTTGTTTAAATGGCCACCACCAGCAGCAAGCCCACAGGAACCGGGTAGGCACTGCTCTGTTTCCTCAGTTCCTAGATCCCCATTTATTAATGCTTCAAGTCTGAGGCTCCGGTATATCTTCACGACGGATGACATGTCATTGTTAATCTGTGCTCTTCTTTATTTCTTGGCGTGAGTCTTACAACCCATGCGGTCTCAGATGAGATGCAGTCTGTGTCAAGCTTGGGGTGACTCTGGGCCTGCCCCCCCGAATGTTCCCAGGTCCTGGGGAGGCAGCTGAGTAGGGGGCTGTGAGGGGCATGGGGCAGGTGTCTCCGGAGAGGCCTGTCGCCCCACTGTGGGAGACCGGTGGGGGGGGCGCACAGCCAGCTCTCATGTGGGGAGGAGGCAGGAGACGGTGATGTTGTTGGGAACATCTCTTGGGTCTCTGAGTACTTGGATTTGGGCGTTTTGGATGAACTTTCTGGAGCACAGGCTTAAGATTTTGGCCTCCTGTCTTTGGAAAACTCGGTGTGGTCACCAAAACCCGGACTGTGAAGCAAAACTGTGCACATGGCTTGACATAAGGTGTTAGGAGGTTATGAGATTGCACGCTGATGGCTGCCACACGTGAGTCAGGCAAAGAAAAAGACCCGTCATCTATGGACTCTGGACTGTGGTCAATTGTTCCCATTTCCAAAATATAAAATTAATGACAGCTTACTGTCTTGGAGACACTTGTTCAGATTTCACTTTATGAAAAAAATATCCCCAGATGTAGTTGTTTTATGCAGAAGATCTCCACGGCAACGGGGCAAAGGCTTGAGGATCTTGGTAAAGAAACAGACTTAATGTGATCACAGTTCTATTAATAGTGTTGTCTTAGTTTTGAGAAACGATGATCACTTGAAGCAGAATTGAAGTACACGTTATAGCTCAGACTTCGTACCCAGCCTGTAATAAAGCATATTAACTAAAGTTCTTGGCACACCCCCTTCCATTCTGTCTCCGATACCTGTGTCTGTCTTGGGTTAAAATTTGAGTTTGAGGAACTTGAGAATGTACGTAGGCACCTTCTTACTTTTATCTCTTAATACTCTGGCAGTTTTGCATCATGGAAGTTGGTGGCGGGTTCTAATTTCAGTTTCCTCTTAGCATGTTCTATTCAAGCTCCAAAGTCACTTCTTGCATCTGGACAATGGGGATGGTAGCACTTACTCCAAAATGACTGTTAGCTGATTAAATAACACGATAACAAATTGTAGCTTTTGAACATGTTAGTTCCCTTCCACTCCAGCTTTCTTTTTTTATAGGATGCTATTGCAAATGGCAAGATTTCATTTTTTAATGGCCAAGTGATATTCCATTGTATATACACCACCTCTTCCTTAGCCTTCATCCATGGATGGACACTTGGGCTGCTTCCATATCTTGGCTATTGAAAGTTATGCTTCAATAAACAGGGGTGCATGTATCCCTTTGAGTTAGTGTTCTTGTATTTTTTGGGAAAATACCCAGAAGCTCATTTGCTGGATTGTGGGGTAGTTCTATTTTTAACTTTTTGAGGCGCCTCCATACTGATTTCCGCAATGGCTGCACCAGTGTGCATTCCTACCAGGGTACACGAGGGTTCCTTTTTCTCCACGTCCTTGCCAGCACATATTGTTTCTTGTGCTTTGATTTTAGCTGTTCTGACAAGTGTGAGGTGATATCTCACTGTAGTTTTGATATGCATTTCCCTGATGATGACTGATGTTGAACATCTTTTCAGTGTCTGTTGGCCATCTGGATGCCTTCTTTGGAGAAATGTCTGTTCATGACTTCTGCCCATTTTTAATTGGGTTGTTTATTGTTTTTTGGGTGTTGAGTTATATCAGTTCTTTATAAATTTTAGATACTAACCCTTTATCATATATGTTATTTATAAATATCTTCTCCTATTCTGTTGGTTGCCTTTTAGTTTTGTTGATTGTTTCCTTTGCTGTGCAGAAACTTTATTTTGACATAGTCCCAATAGTTTATTTTTGGTGTTATCTCCCTTGTCTCAAGAGACATATCCAGAAAGATGTTTTTATGGCCGATATCAGAGAGATTACTGCCTGTTTTCTCTTCAAGGACTTCTATGGTTTCAGGTCTCACATTTAGATTTTTAATCCATTTTGAGTTTATTTTTTGTGTATGGTGAAAAAAAAGTGGCACAGGTTCATTCTTTTCATGTGGCTCTCCAGTTTCCCCAACACCATTTGATGAAGAGACTGTCTTTTTCCCATGGTATATTCATTCCTTCTTTGTGAAAGATTAATTGACCATATAATTGTGGGTTTATTTCTAGGTATTCTATTCTATTCTATTCTATTCTATTCTATTCTATTCTATTCTATTCTATTGTTTCTATGTCTATTTCTATGCCAGTACCATACCATTTTGGTTATTACCACTTTGTAATGTAACTTGAAATCTGGAGTTGTGATACCTCTAGTTTTTTTTTTTCCCTTCAAGATTGTGTAGGTTATCTGAGGTCTTTTGTGGTTCCACACAAATTTTAGGATTGTTCTAGTTCTGTGAAAAATGCTGTTGGTATTTTGATAGGGTAGATTGCTTTTATGTAGTATAGACATTTTAACCATATTTGTTTTTCCAATCCATGAGCATGGGATGTCTTTCCATATCTTTGTGTTGCTTTGAATTTCTTTCATCCATGTTTTACAGCTTTCAGAGTATAGGTCTTTCATGTGTTTGGTTAAATTTATTCATAGGTATTTTTTTGGTACAATTGTAAATGGGATTATTTTCTTGATTTCTTTTTCTGCTGCTTCATTGTTAGCTTTCATTATATTGAGGGTTTTTATCATGAATGGATGTTGTACTTTGCCAAATGCTTTTTCTGCATCTGTTTAAATGAACGTATGGTTTTTATCCTTTGTCTTGTTGATATGATGTATCATGTTGAATGATTTGTGAGTAT